ACACTACCTGTTGTGCCTGGCTTCTATGACGTTCAAGCTCTATTTCTGCATTTCTACTCTCTGCTTCTTTAATCAATAAATCCTGTGCTATGATTTCATTCTAAAGAAACATTTAATAAATTAGACAAGTCAGTGAGCTCAAATCAAATGTATGGATTTTTAGATTTTTAAAAATACAATGTGTATAAATTAGTGTTAATGTGCAAACAAAAAATTCTTATTATAATTGTTACAGAACTTTGATAGAGAAGTCATAAAAAAGCAATCCCAGGAATATAGTTTGGAGGAAAGCTCACCTGAGATCTAAGAAATACTAGTTCTCTCCGTAGCTGTTCTATAAGATTGTCAAGAGGATCTATCTGAGATAATTTTGCTTGTGCAGTAATAGGCACAGGGTCCAGAAGATTAACCTCAAGCTTACTTTTCAAAATCTCTGTCTTTAAGGGTACTTTACTTTTTCTTTTATCTTCTTTCAAACTGATATCAGAATACTTTATTTGAGTATGAACCTGTTCATCTTCTGATGCTGCTAACTGTGATTTATCCATGTTATCACTATAATCATGAATTTGTTGACAAAATACTGCAGATTTTTGCCTAAGTGATAACTTCTGCATTAAGTCTGAAGCTGTTGATAAAACTGGAAAAGATGAATCACTTTTTTGTATGAAATTAGTCTTCTCTACTGTTTGATGGCTTCTTGACACTTTCTTCATATAGTTATCAGAAAGAGAGCCTAAGTAGTCATCTATTTCTTCATGGCTCTCTCTACTAAAGGTATTGACTAATGACTCTAGGTTTTTTAAAGATTGTAGACAGGGTGCTTTAAAAATCTCTCTTATTGTAATAGTTTCTGGAGTTGAATTATCTTTTACTTGCACGGATGAAGAATGTCTAGTTAAAGAGACAAAACGATCCACTCCACTTTCTGTGCTATGATGGATTTTAGATAACATTCTTGATAATGATCCTATGGTCAAATTCTCTTCTGGCTCATTCTGATCTGACTGTGGAATACTGAATGATGGTCTCCTAGCGAGCAGCTCTATTTTCTCTGAACTCCTAATCTGCATTCAGAATAAATAATGTCTCATTAATCAATCTTTGGATCAACAAGTTATTTAAATAGCAAACATTTTTCTCTACTTACTATTTAATAATAAAAAGAACTGGATGTTCAAAATGAGATAAAGGGGGAAGAAATGAAAGCACCGATAATAACATTTTCCTTTATGCTCTTTGCCATAGTGGTACTTTACTGTTTACCTTTGATTGTGCTTCACTCATACTTTTGAGGCTCATTAAATCCCATTTTGTTTGTCCTACCCTATCTTGAGAAACATTTTCATTTAGGTTCAGGTCTTCAAAGGTTAATCCTAAATATAAAAGAATT